TGACTTTTAAGGTAATTACTTTCTTCTTTTTCTTTATGGCTTTATCATACAAGTGTACATCCCTAGACACAATGTCCATTTTTAAAAAAAATTTATGTCTTTGTAATCAAAAGTCCCCCCCATCCTTTTTTTTTTTTTTGTAGTTTGTTTATTGACAAATGATAGACTTTTCTGTGGTCTGCATTTTGCTGATTGGATACATCAGGCATATTTCAATATGTTTCTCTGCCCTCTGTATTTCCTGCAGGTTGGCAGGTCAGTAGCCTACTTAGACTTGGGCTTGGTCCTTCTGGCAAGACTGTAGATGAAGTTATCTTCTTTCACAGAGTCTGATATTTACTCCTTTTTTGAGGACGTTGTTGTTATTAGTTAGTTGCCTTCGAGTTGGCTGTGACTCATGACGATCTACGTATAACAGGGTGAAACAGTGCCTGGTCCTGTGCCATCTTCATAATCATTGATGTGTTTGAGCCTTAGTTGTGGCTATTGTGTCAATCCATCTCATTGAGGATTTCCCTCATTTTTACTGACCAACCATGATACCATTTTTTAGTGATTGGACTTTCCTGGTGTTGTGTCCAAAGTAAGTGAGTTGAATTCTCACTGTCCTCCCTTCTAAGGAACATTCTGCATGTATTTCTTCTAAGACTGATTTATTCACTCTCTTGACAGTCCATGTCACCCCATAATTCAAATGCATTCATTCTTCTTTTGTCTTCCTTTATCATTGTCCAGCTTTCCCATATGTATGAGGCGATTAAAAAACCTTGGCTCAGGTCAGGTACATCTTAGTCATCAAAGTGACATCCTTGCTTTTTAAAACTTTACAGAGTGCTTCAGCAGCTTATTTGCCCAGTACAATATGTCATTTGATTTCTTGATTGTGGCTTCTGTGGACATTGGTTATTGATCCAAGTAGAATGAAATCATTGATACTTTCATTTTTTTTTCTTTTTATGTTAGCAGCCACTTGTGCTCACTACCAGGATTTGTAAAGCTATGACACTAATTCTTTCATTTTGTTTTATTTATTACTTGGAAAAATTTGTAAAGATACATCTTTTCTCGTATACTATTTGGTGACATTCATACATGAAAAGCAAGATAAGATTTTGTTTCTTTTTTTTTACCCAGTTCTCAAGATAATGAGTTGGTTCCCTAGCTTCCTCAGAAGGTGACCAGTTAGCTTTTTAGAAAAGTGTCTGATGAACTCATAGATGTAAACATATTTAATGGGTTTCTACTCTTTGTAAATCTTACTTTATAAAAGTTTAAATTGTCCCACTCTGGTTAGTTGGTGCCAGAGTCTTTTTTGACATGATCCTAGTTGTCTTTGATCGCTTTCCTGCTATCTAGTATGTTAGAACGTTCCAAACTTACTATGTGTAATTTGTTTCCCAGACCTGGTATTCATTACTCAGTGAAAAACTTAGTTCTAAATACAAATGATTCATAAATATATCCTTGAAAAACTTTTAATATTCCAATCCTTTCCTTAATTTGTATTCTTCTTAATCCCTGTTATCATTTGATTAACGTCTTTCCAAACCTTGACCTATCAATTTTCATGTCAACCTACAGAAATAATTTTATTTTTAGAATGTAATTATTTTCTAGTTTTGAAAAACATAAATGGTATTTATTATACTTATTGTTAATTGTTTCTTTATTCAGTAATACATCTTTGCAGTTTTTCCTATGTTAGTACCTAAAGACCTACCTAATTCTTTTGAAATTGCTCCATAATAATTGGTATGGTTCTTCATTTTGTTAAACTTTTCTAGTGATGGACATTGAATTAATTGTTACCAGTTTTTCTATTAATATAACTCTTGCTTTAGAAACCATCTTATATATGTCTGTTATGCACATCTATAGATGTTTGTTCATAGTCAGAGAGTGTGTGCATTTAGAATTTTGCCCATTTGCCCTCTAAAGTGCCTGTACTTTTACAAGTAGAATATGAGAAAACTTATTTCTTTACACACTACCAGTACTTGATGTTGTCAAACTAAGAATTCTGCCAATCTGAAGGTAACAAATTTCCCTGATTTCCTAGTACCTTTCTGCGGTGGGAAAGGAGGCGCTGTCAGGTGGGGTGTTGCAGTAGTCTTCTGGGTGTAAAGATTTCTCATTCCTTTTGGGTGCACTTGCTCTGCTCAGGTACCATACTTAATAACTTCAGCATGGACACAGCACTGACTTCAGAGACCTTTATATCATTTATGGTGGTTCTCCCTGATCTCCTAATTTTGTCACATTTTCTGTACCCTCCAGTTTTCAGTGTATGCCGATTCTTGCCGAACTACACCCATTACTCCCTATCATCCCAGTTGAGTAATTTCATTATCTTGGTAATTTTACTGTGATTGTGTGGGCATTTTCCACACAAGCCTGTTAAGACTAAATGATAATCTGTGTTCCTAAATATTCTTCATACTTTTTTCTCATGGTTCATTTCTTGGGACCACTATTCTTAGATGTGACCATAGTTCATTCAGTGACCAATTTATTTAGTGCTTGTGTTACTTAGTATTATTTCATAATTTATTTTCCTATAAGCCTAAGGCACTTGACTGCTAACCAGAAAGCTGGCAGTTCAAACCCATCAGCTGCTCCTCGGAAGGAAGATGGGGTAATCTACTTCCGTAGGGATACTGCCTTGGAAACCCAACGAGGGGTCACTATGAGTCAGTTCCGACTTGATGGCACATAACAACAACAATAACAACATAAGCCTAATAGAAATACAGCACATATATAATTATTCTATACAGTCCTTTTTTTGTACAGCTATGAAAATACCTGATGATCTTAAAGATTGTGTAATTATGCCTCACAGGTTCATGATTCAGATGCTTATTCTTTCCGGGAGCTCTGTGGCACAGTGCCTAAGGCATTTGACTGCTAACCAGAAGGTTGGTGGTTCAAAACCACCAGGCACTCTATGGAAGGAAGATGGGGCAATCTACTTCTGTAAAAATTTACTGCCTTGGAAACCCAGTGGGGGTCACTATGAGTTGGAATTGACTTGACAGCAGTGGGTTTGGTTTTGTGTTTCTAGGCAATGCCTTACTTGATTTTAGTTTGTTAGGGGTCCTTTGGGATCAGAAACTAAAGGTGGAAGTCCTAAGACCAACAGGAGCAGATGTTTTCCTGGCACTAAGTAAGGAAAAATATAATTTGTTCATGAAAAGAATTTCAGGTAGCCTGGTTTTCCAAATACTCAGATAGTTCTCTTTCTTGATTGATTTCCATTTGGTCTAGACAAAGTTTAAATGAGAAAAAAATGTAGTGTGTTCTGAATAGGTTAGATCGTTCTTTCATCAAATTAAATTTGTGCTTAAGGAAGAACCAGTGAAAGGTAAGCAAAGAAAAGGAGCTTATAACATGTAACTTTATATGAACTAGTTTTTCTTAGTAGTAGTGTTAAGGCATAGACTCTATCTAAGACTATTACTAATAAAATGACTATAGCCTATATTAATTCATATAATTATATGAATTAATATAGTCTTATATAAATGACTATATTAATTCATATACAAAATGCTTTCCCCAGAATATCCAGATGATTAAAAGAAGAATGAAAGAGGATTAGAGAGATGCAGAGACAGGGAGGAACAGTAATAATAAGTAACAATAATTGCCTCAATGCTTTTGTTAAACTTAAATGTTTAGAGCATCTTTATATCATGATATAAATAAGAAGAAGCTTTTACTAGGGCATGACGATAATATATTTTGTGTGCTTCTATTTATAAAATAATTAAAAAATATTTTAAAGTAGAATGGAAGATTGCCAATAGAAAGATAAACCATTGGCCTCATAATGGTTTGTTTGAGCATTAATAATGGACTCAGAAACTCCCAGCTTAGGTCCAGACTATTTTGTTTATTTTTTAAATTTTATTGTGATTTGGGTGAAAGTTTACAGAGCAAATTCATCTCCTGTACAGCAGTTCACATACACTTTGTCTCATGACATTAACTCTAATCTCCCACAAGGCAACAGCTCTCCTCCCACTTCCTCCCTATAGCCACCTCTTCCCTGTGTCCTTCCCTTCCATGCACTCCTGCCCCGCAAGCTGTCTCCCTGTGTACACACAGCCCTTCTGTCTCTCCAAGGAGTATATCTATCTAATGTAAATGTTCAGCTCATATGCCTGGCTTTTGTTTGTCTGGAAGCCACAGGAGTGGGTTCCATTCCAGACTTAAAGGGCAGCTAGGGGCCATAGTCTCAGTGGTTCCATCAGGCTCTGTCAGACCAGCAATCCTGATCCCTTTTTTAAAAAACAAAAATGATTTTGAGTTTTGTTCCACATTGTTCTCCCACTCTATCTAGGATCTCCTACATAGATCCCCCTCTGAGTGCTTGACAGTGCTAGCTGGGCACCGTCTAGTTCTTCTGGGCTCATAGTCGTACAGGCTGAGGATCGCATGATGTGCCAGTCCCTTGGACTAATTGTTTCCTTGCATCTTTGGTTTTCTTCATTCTCTTTGCTCTGGATGAAGAGAGAGCCATCATTGCATCTAGATGGCTGCTTGTAAGCTTTTAAGATCCCAGTTGCTCCTCACCCAAATAGGTTGTGGAACAATGTTTTTGTGTAGTATGTTATGCCAGTTGAGCTTGATGTCCCCTGCGATCATGGTCCTGAGCCCACATGGTGCCAGACTGTTTTATTGTGGCAGTCTGTCCTTAAGTTTCTGAATAGAGAAATATCTTTGTGCTTGAATGGAAAGCAACTCAGCTACTCCAGCAGGTCTCTTAGAGAGGAATAGCAATTACTAGTCATTTCAACGAGTGGAATATAGGACATACTTAACAGAAGTATTGTGATCTGACAAAAGTATTTTTAAGCACGGTGCATGCTTTGCTCCTTCAAATGCTTTATAATTCGATTAGATCAGTAGAATTAGCAGTCATGTTTTGGCATACTTTGGTGAATTTCAATAATGTTTGCATTCTCAAGAATATTTTGTTTTAAACTTTGTTTTAGTGATCGTGGTGGAGAAGACCCAAACCAGAAAGTAATCCATGGGGTTATTAACTCCTTTGTTCATGTTGAACAGTATAAGAAAAAATTCCCCTTAAAGGTAAAAAGCCTCCTTTAAAATAAGTAATCAGACCTTTGATTTCTTAAATTTACTTGTTTTTTTCCTAATGTAATTTTAATTGATATATTTAGTTTTATCAGGAAATCTTTGAGTCTCCCTTTCTGACTGAAACAGGAGAGTATTATAAACAAGAAGCTTCAAATTTATTACAAGAATCAAACTGCTCACAGTATATGGAAAAGGTAAGAAGATATATTATGCTAAATATGAGACGGGATTTTACCTGACATTAATTTTCATAGTTAATATATTTTTTTTTTTGTGGTGGAAAATACTCTTTTATTATTATGCTGAGTTATATGGAGCCCTGGTGGTTAAAGCCCTTGGCTGCTAACTGAAAGGTCTATATCTTGAACCTTCCAGTTGCTCTGTGGGAGAAAGATGTGGCAAGCTAATTTTTTTTAAAGATCTGTAGCCTTGGATCCTCTATGGGACAGTTCTACTTGGTCCTCTTGGGTTACTATTAGTTGGAATTCACTTGACAGCAGTGGGATTTTCTGAGTGATAGTTAATGCACAACACCTATTGATAAGTCATTGCTGTTGCTGTAGCATTTTCCGTGATGAAAAGTGCTGTTCCAGTTTTTATCATGGTTGATGCTTCTTAATAAATCCTAATTGCTAGGGATTTGCTTGTTTTTAATTAATTTTATTATTTATTTGCAAATTAATAAACTGGATTTTGTGTTTACTGCATATTCAGGGAATAGAATGATAAGTTCAGAAGCTTAGATTTTTTTTTTTTGTTTTTGGAAAAATAAGGGGAAATGTAATAATTCTGCATACTTGGATAGCTCTTTCGGTCTTTCAAGTTCTTGGAAGGCTAAAAAGAATGTCCACAACCCTTTTTTAAGTAATTATCAAAGCAATACTTATTTATTATCATATTTAAAATTTCATATATATTTTTTCTTAGTAAAAGAATAGTAGTATAAATTCAGTCATCATACAAGACATATTAGAACTTTTAACCAAGTATTTTCATTTGTAATGTTGGATTGCAAGCATTTTAGTATTAATGATTTTTGTTAGTTTAGCCAAGAAAGATAAAATGTTTTAAGTGGAATAGTGTAAAACACAGATCAAGAAACATCAGTATTTATTGATTACACTTACATATTTGACAAAGCCCAGGGTCTCAGCATCAGAAGTTATTTAACGCTCTTCCTGCTTTTACCACTAATTACCTCTGGGACCTTGAGCACATCTTTTAGGCCTTTATTCCTCCATCTCTTCAATGCAGCTTATACTAACTCAGTTCTTGGTTCTTTTGGATTTAGACTCTTTTTTTTAAAGTCCCTAGATCCAATCTTAAAATGCAGACAGAGTGTCAGTAGTACATGTATACCCTATAATATCTGGCTTTAAGGACCCTTGGTGGAGCAATGGTTAAAGTGTTTGGTTGCTAATTGAATGGTCAGTGGTTTGAACCTCCTGGTCACTCTATAAGAGAAAAGATCTGACCATCTACTCCCATACACATTATAGCCTAGATATCTCTACCAGAGAAATTTACTCTGTTATATAGGGTCTTTATGAGTCATAATTGTATTAACAACCCACAACAACAATAATAGCATTTGTTGTTATTATTATGTGTGCTGTTGAGTTGTCTCCAACTCATTGTGACCTTATGTACAGCACAATGAAACACTGCCCAGTCCTACACCAGCCTCATGATCCCTATTGGAGCCCATTGCTGCAGCCATCATGTCAGTCCATCTTGTTGAGGGCCTTCCCCTCTTTCATTGACTCTGCACTTTACCAAGCATGACATCCCTCTCCAGAGAATGGTCCCTCTGACAACATGACCAAAATAAGTGAGATGAAATCTGGCCATTCTTGCTTCCAAGGAGCATTTCAGCTGCACTTCTTCCAGGACAGATTTGTTAGTTCTTTTAGGAGTCTACAGTACTTTCAGCATTCTTCGCCATACCACAGCTCAAAAGCATCAGCTCTTCTTCAGACTTCCTTTTTCACTGTCCAGCTCTCACATGCATATAAGGCAATTGAAAATACCATCGCTTGGGTTAGGCGCATCTTAGTCTTCAAGGAGACATCTTTGCTCTTCAGCACTTGAAAGAGGTCTTTTTGCAACAGATTTGCCCAATGCAATACTTCTTTATAATAATAATAATAATAATGATAATAGCATGAGCTATTAGAATTAAATTATGTTTGCAAAATAGTGTTTATATAAGTAGATCAATTCAGAAAATAATGATAAACTTTAATAGCTTCAAGTGCTAAAATCCTAGGATTTGCTATCTATACATTTAATTAATTAATAATCAGTTAATTAGGTGCTTTCTTACTTTGCTTTCAGTAGTTTTCCTCTACTTTTGTCACTTTCACTCTGGCTACCAGTGGTTTTATGCTTACTTGAAGTTCTCTTTTGGGACATTGCAACCTTGTCTACCCCTAAGTTGGCATTGCATTCCCCCCCATCTTTCCTCATCTCTCTCAAGCCTGTACTTTAATTCCTGTTGGATTTAGTTAATCTAGCAAGGGGATTAAAGTCACTTAGCATATACTGTAAATGGTTAATAGGCTTAAACCTTTTAAATGCTATTTTTTATTAAAAAAAAAAACAAAAAAAAAACTTGTTGACCAAAATGATTCTCTTACTTAATGAAATATGGTGAACACCTTTATAATCTAAGCACCTTCTTGCCCATTCTTGGTTTCTATGACTTTGCCTTGCACTCCTGCCTTCATGGAGTATCCATATTTTCCCTCCCTCTATATATTCCTTCTCTTGATGCTGAAACAAACAACAGCAGTATTCTCCAAGGCTCAAATATACTAATTCCTTGGGGCCACTCAGTTCAGAAACTTCAGATCAGTAGCTTCATGTTACAGTGTTTTCTAAGTCTGCTTATATTTGTATGTGTATATGTTCTGCTAGCATAATTTTCATTGCAACAATGCTGTAGTTTCATTTTGATATAGAAATTGATTAATTATCAGTAGCTAGTTCTTAGTAATATTAATCAGTACATTGTTTGGATAGTGCTTTTTATATAAGATAAGCTTTAATATAGGTCTGTATTTGACTATGACTAAATATATTTTGACTTAAAATTTTTTTTTTAAACCAATAATGTTATAGTAACTATTAAACACAATTATTTACATTGACACTTTATAAGAAGAGGAACCAATGTAAAATAATAAGATTAATCTACTTAGTTCAATTGATGTGAATTATTCTTTAGTTTGATATTTACATATTCATATACAGGAAGTCCCCGACTTACGACGGGGTTCTTTTCCGACGACTCCATCATAAGTAGGTTCTGATGTAAGTTGAATACCTCATTTTTTTCCTTTTAAAAAAGTTTTCATTATTATTGTCATAGTCTACTATATAACAGTGTTTTGAGCAGTAAATCATAGCAAAGAACATCTGGGAGTGAACATCTGAGAACGGTAACATCACCAAACTTTATGATGCAATATTGTATGTAGTACATGTTACCAACGATCTGATGTACAAAAACAGAAAAACAGATTGTCTGAGTGTGGTTCGTCATAACTCGAATATGTCATAAGTTGGGGACAACCTATAGTGACCCTAGTCACTGGTTTTTAATAATGCCTATTTTTTCCATTTGAATAGTGGATTGTTCACATAATAGGATGATTGAGATCAATAAATGAAGAAAAAATGCAGACCTATTAATTTTAGTTTTTATTCATAAGATTGTAGTAGCATGTAGGTGATAGTTAGTAGTTTAAATAAACATTTTAAATGATTTATGAAATGTGGATTTTAAACTGACCTGTTCGTTACCTTCACTGTGTTTAATTGAGCCGTTACAATATGGCTACCTAAGTTATTTACTGATATTACAAGATTTTTACCATGATAAAACCTAGTAGTTCATAACTATACGATGATATTTCTGTAGGTTCTAGGTAGATTAAAAGATGAAGAAATTCGATGTAGAAAATACTTACATCCAAGTTCATATACTAAAGTGATTCATGAATGTCAGCAACGAATGGTAGCAGACCACTTACAGTTCTTACATGCAGAATGTCATAATATCATCCGACAAGAGAAAAAAAATGGTAAGTGATAGTAAACATAATTGTGAATAAAAATTAATTTATAAACCCATCTTTTAAATCATCTTCCAGCCACCTTAGATTTAAAATATATTTTAGTACTGTTCTTTAAAATATTCATTGTGCATTTTGCAGATTGGTAATCATGTATTTTGAATGACTATTTTGGAAAAATATATTTTCAAAGTATATTTTAAAGTCAAAAGAAAAACTGTGAAAATGTATTTGCACATTTTTATATCACAAGAGATAATTTTGTTAATACATTAAGAGTTCCTAGTGATAACCGCCTCAGAAACCCAAGGAGGAGTTGCTATGAGTCAGACTCGTCTTGACAGCAGTTGTGTTTGGTGTTTTGGTTTTATAGGAGGAAAAAGGGTAAAAGGATATGAAAAGGAAATACAGATTTTAAATATATGAAGAGGTGCTCAATCTCACTCATAACAGGAGAAATACAAAATAAAATTACACTGAAATATCAACCATGAAGAATGAAAAAGTAGAATTTTTTAGAAAAAGAGAAAATTGCATTAAGTATCATTAAATAGGAGGTAAATATAACAAATATTCAGGCCTACACAGAAAACTAAACATTATGAAAAAAACAACATTGATTTATAGATCCTGGAGAATCTAATGAGAACCCAGGAATTTTCTTTCTTTATTTTAAATTGTGAAAGTTATATACTTTTACACTAAGAATATCCAGGACAATCTTGAAGAATATGATAAGAAGTCATACTTTATAGGATAGCAAGGCTTGTCATTAACCACAGTAATGAAGAAAGTGGCATTGGTGTATGCATAGATAACTAGACCAGTGGAATAAATAGCTTAGAAACAACCCGTATATACATAGACAGAAGGTATCCAGATGACTAGTAAACATATAAAAAGGTACTCAATCTCATTAAAATAGAGGAATATAAATTAAAACCACATTAACATATCAGTGTGCACTCATTATTTTAATATAAAATTTAAAAGATTGAAAATACTAAGTGCTGGAAAGCATATATGCCAGTAGGAACTTGCCATATACTGAGATGGGACTATAAATTGATAAATCAGTTTGAAAGGCACTTGACTGCTAACCAGAAGGCTGGCGGTTCAAACTCACCAGCCACTCCTCAGAAGGAAGATGGGGCAATCTAATTCTGTAGTGATAATGCCTCGGAAACCCAAGGAGGGGTTGCTATGAGTCAGGTCCAACTTGACGGCATATAACACCACCACCACCACCACCACCAACATTGAAAATAAATATATGTATATCTTATGATCTCATAATTCCACTCTTAGGTATATAACCTTCTGCCCAAAATGCATGCACATAGGCAAAAAAAGATTTGTATAAGAATGTCCGCAGCAGCATGTAATAGCCCCAAACTGGAAGCAACTCAAATGTCTAATAACGTAGAATGGATAAAATATGGTGCATTCATTCAGTGGACTATTACGGAGAAACAGAAATGAACAGATTACAGCTATATACAAAAACATAGGTGAACTTTATAAACATAATATTGAACAGAAGAAACTAGCCATGAAGAATAGATATATTATTCCATATTTATAGAATTCAGAAACATTAAGACTAATCTATGGTTAAATAGTCATAGTAGTGGTTACCTTTGCAGAGGAGCAAGAGGAGTATATAGTGATTGGGAAGGAGGCATGAAGGGGACTTCTAGGGCATAGGTAACGTTCTATTTCATATTCTGTGTGGTGCTTACATGGGTGTGTTGTTGTGTGCTCACTTGTGATAATTCATTGAGATGTACACTTATGGTTTGTACACTTTTCTGTATGTGTGTTGTATGTCAATAAAGTTTAAAATGAAAACTACTACACTGAGACATCATTTTTCACCTCAGTGACAGAGATCAAATTGTTTGATGACATGGTAACAAGGGAGCTCATAGGTGCTGGGAGTGCTATTTAGAAGGATCTATCTTCAAGATTAAATTTTGATACAGCAATTCTAGGGATTTATAATGCAGATATTCTTGCCATCATACAAATTATTAATTACAACATTGTTTGTAATACCAAGAGATTGGAAACAAATTTCCATTGCATGTTAAATAATTGTAATATAGCCATATAATGCAGTGCTCTGCAATTGTAAAATATGAGCAGATTCTTTATATATTGACATAGAAAGATCTCTAAGTTAAAATGTTACTTGAACTGTAAATAATACATAAAATCCACTACACTATGTAAAAAGGAGCACAGGGAAGAATATATATATTTGTTTGAATGGGCATAAAATATTTTTGGAAATACTAAACCATAACAACATAGCTTTCCTATGGGGAGTGGGACTAGGTGGTTGGGAGACAAGGGTGTGGGGGCAGTTTATATACTGTTTTGTACTTCTCTGTGTGTTGAACCACATATTACCTAGTAAAGAAAGTTAAAAAATATTTAAAAAAATATTTAGGAAGTTAATAATCAATTTTCTTTTCCCCTCAGACATGGCAAATATGTATGTCTTACTTCGTGCTGTGTCCACTGGTTTACCTCATATGATTCAGGAGCTGCAAAATCATATCCATGATGAGGGCCTTAGAGCAACCAGTAATCTCACTCAGGAAAATGTGAGTTGTGTAACAAACGGGAAAATTTTTCTCTGAATCAAATTTATCATGAAGTTTTTCTTTTGACTTTATGGTTTTATAAGATGAAAAAAAATTACATAGTTTTATTATACCAACAAATCATTTTAAACCTAGAGTTTGTTAGACTTACCTTGTAATTATCAAATTATTAGAAAATTATTGGATGAGATGGATTTCTTCTTAGCCATACTGATATGTTTGTTCACTTAGCAGTTGTTCTCACAGAAAAATATGTTTGCTGTTTCTAAATAACTGTTTCTACATAGCTAGCATTAATACTGAGTTGTTGAGGTAATGGCATTAATTGGTGGTATATAAAATTTGAAAGCCTTTTTCTTTACAGATTCTTTGAATCTGGTCATCTAGGTAGCAAATTTAGATTAAAACAATCTTCGCTGAATATGTTTGCTTCTTATCTGAAATATCTAAAACAATGACCCTCTTATTCCTAACACCCATCTTTCTCAAGAGTACCATACCAGTCAAATGACTGTTTACAACAAGATGCCTTTCCTATCAAAGTGTGTTCTTAGCACAATCTTTTTGAACTGTCTTCTTTGTTATTACTAGTGATGGCTGAGGAATATGATAGACATGACATGAAGTGTTACTTCTGTATTTTTTGAAAGTGGAATATTTGCTCTTTATCTTAAAAATGTGTGGGTATAGATGGAAACTATTGCTCACAGTCTTAATTAGAAGCTGATAACTTTAGTTGTAGAATTATTTTTCTGGAAAATAATTTATTGTATATTCTTCTTAGTTTTTAATGTCCTGCCACAATAAATGCATAAATTTTCTTTTTTGTAGAATTATTATATTATCTATGCCTATTAATTTGTACGAATTTATTAGTTTATGTCATTTGGTTTGTAAATTCAGGATGTTGAATGACATTGGGTAGAGAGATACAGAGTTTGGTGTCAAGGGCTGGGAGATGGAAATATGAGAAAGAGAAAGCAATAATGCATTTGTGAGTCACTCAAAAGATGTTAGTGATTTGGTTAAGTCTTAGGTGCTGACTTCTTCATAGTTACCTTTGTTAAGAGGGAAAACTTACTCTTGCACCACTATATTCCCAGAGATAATGGCTCTTTAGCTCTTTTATCTGTTTCAAACTTCAGTGCCTTTGAAGGCAGTTTTGGTTTTTATAACCCCCATGAAAGTGATTGGCATGATAGTTTAGAGATTATATCTTGTTACCCTTAAGTTATGGTATTCTAACACAAGAGAGATGTGTGTTTTTGGACAATTCTTCTGGCAGAGGAAACCTACACATTCCCACATTTTTGGTGTTGAATGGCAAGATCATTGCAATATCAACATAAAAAAACTTTAAGACCATCTTAGCTAAGACATTTCCTGAATATGTATGTGTGTATATGTGTGTAAAGTATATAATTTGCTTGGGTAAAACTTTACTCTTAATTAAAGAAACCTTTAGTAAGCATTCCTTGACATTCTTAAATGTGCTTTTATATTTTGTACTTAATATTTTCAGATGCCAACACTATTTGTGGAATCGGTTTTGGAAGTACATGGTAAATTTGTTCAACTTATCAACACCGTTTTGAATGGTGATCAGCACTTTATGAGTGCACTGGATAAGGTAACGTTCATATTTTATGTTTATAAAATTCTCTTTGTTTCATCATCATTCTTGGACAATTTTAAAATTAGGGCTTCTGATATGAGATTAGTGATCAGATACAGAGATCAACCTCAGGTTACTAATTTAAATGTGAAAGTTAAAATAGAAATAATGTATACTTTTAAATTATTAACAGAATAGTTCATGAATATTTTTGGAGCTCCCATAAGTGTGTTACATAAGAGGAATTGTTGCTAATAAGCTAATACCATCTAAATTTTATAACAATAATTTTAATATTCTTTAATAATGGGTTTTTCCTTTAGAATGTAATACTTGGGCTATATTGAATAATAATTGAAACAAAATGAAATATTACAGTGAAACTGTGAGAGCTGTAATTCCAGACGACTGCCGAGTTTGTCTGAGTCTTACAAGTTTTCTGCCTTTAACAGGTGCAGTCTTACCACTTTTTCTTTTTTAAATATCACTTTCTGTCAGTGGAAGAATATTTTGAGTTTTACTCATGACAGATTTCTACCTTTCACAGGTTGTGGCTTTCTCAGGTTTTACTGTATTTTTATACAAAGTTGAATTTTGGTATTCTTTAAAGGAAACTTGCTTAAAAGATTTTAAGATGAAAATAGTCTTACTTTCTCTGTGTTCAGATTTTAGTGAGTTGTAAAGATTATCTTCCAATTGGAATAAACCAAAAAAAAAAACAAAAAACCGTCAAATTCATTGCCATCCAGTCGATTCTGACTCATAGCAACCCCGTTGGGTTTCTGAGGCAGTAAATCTTTACAGAAGTAGATTACCCCATCTTCGTTACACAGAGCAGCTGGTCAGTTTGAACTACTGACCTCTAGTTAGCACTCAGATGCCTCAGGCACTGTACCACCAGAGCTCCTTTCAATTGAAATAGAATGTAGAATTGTATAATTATGAGGAGTACGTTTAGAGGAATTTACTGTCTGTTAGATATGAAAATGCTATTAACAAACTACCGTGCAAATGCCAAGTTTTCTGTGGTGTAGTATTTTTTGCAGATAGAGATTATAGCATATATTGAACCAGCTGTATTTTTACCCTATTGCTGGTGGCTGATTACTGGCCTGTTTTCTCTTTAGGCCCTTACATCAGTAGTAAATTACAGAGAACCCAAGTCTGTTTGCAAAGCACCCGAACTGGTAAGTTTGATGGTTACTTATAGTAATCTTATGAAAAGATTAGAAAATAAACACTGAAGAGAATGTCAAATTGATTTTTTGTAGCATTTTTCAGAAAAATAGATGAAATTAAATTACTGAAAATAATGATTAGCTACATCATATATAATTTGGCTTAAATAAGAAATGTAGTAGACCATGTACCACAGCCTTTCCTTAAGTAATAACTGAAAAATAAGACATTCTGTTTTACATAAAGTTTGGGTTTTACCATGTTTTTGCTTTTAAATAATTTATTCAAAATTTTGTTATATCTATTATCTAAAGGACATCTGATCATAGTTTGTTTTTTTTGAAAAGTGAAACTAGCATTCAGCTTTTATTTTTATTTTTTTGTTCATAAATTTTTAAGGGAAACTTTAAAGGTTTAAGTTTATCACGATAAATTTGGAAGACAGCTACCTGGCCATCTGCCTGGAAGAGATCCATATTTGTGCCCATTCCAAAGGCAGGTGACCCAACAGAATGTGGAAATTACTGAACAGTATCATTGATAACATGTGCAAGCAAAATTTTGCTGAAGATCATTCAAAAACAGTTGCAGCAATATATTGACAGGGAACTTCCAGAAATGCAAGCTGGATTCAGAAGAGGATGTGGAACAAGGGATATGATTGCTGATGTCAGATGGATCTTGGCTGAAAGCAGAGAATACCAGAAAGATGTTAAGTTGTGTTTTAATGACTATGCAAAAGCATTTGACTGTGTAAATCATAACAATTATGGGTAACATTGAGAAGAATGGGAATTCCAGAACACTTAATTGTGATAATGAGTAACCTGTACATAAATCAAGAGGTTGTCATTTGAGCAGAATAAGGGGTACTGCATGGCTTAAAATCAAGAGCAGTGTACATCAGGATTGTATTCTTAAACCATACTTATTCAATGTGTATGCTGAGCTTATAATCCGGGAAACTGGACTATATGAAAAGGAACGAGGCATCAAGATTGGAGGAAGACTCATTAACAACCTGTAGTATGCAGACGACACAAACTTGCTTGCTGAAAGTGGAGCTGATAAAGATCAAAGACTACCTATAGCTGATAAAGATCAAAGACTACATATAGCCCTCAGTGTGGATTACACTTCAACATAAAGAAAACAAAAATTCTCACATGTGGACCAGTAAGCAGCATCACGATAAATGGGGAAAAGATTGACATTGTCAAGGATTTCATTTTCCTTGCATCCACAATCAACATCCATAGGAACAGCAGTCAACAAATTAGACATCATATTGCATTGGGAAAATCTGCTGCAAAAGATATTTTTAAAGGCTTAAGGAACAAAGATGTCACTTTGTAGACTAAGGTGTGCCTAACTCAAGCAATGGTATTCAGTCGTCTGAAACGTGTGTGAGAGGTGAACAACGAGTAAAGAACCAAAGAAGAGTTAACACCTTTGGATTGTAGTGTTGGCAAAGGATATGGAAATTACCCTGGACTGTCAGAAGAGTGAACAAATCTGTCCTGGAAGAAGTGCAGCTGGAATGCTTCTTAGAAGCAAGAGTGGCCAAACTTTGTCTCACCTACTTTGGTCATGTTGTCAGAAGGGACCATTCCTTGGAGAAGGTTGTCATACTAGGTAAATAAATGGTCAGTGAAAAAGGGGAAGACCTTCGAGGAGGTGCGTTGACACAACGGCTGCAATGATGAACTAAAGCGTAGTGGAGGTTGTGAGGATGGCGCAATACCAGGCAGTGTTTTGTTATGTTGTGTGTGGAGTTGCTATGAGTTGGAGCTGAGGTGATGGCATGTGACAACAACAAAGGAAACTTACTTTACAAGGTTGTTGTAAAAATGAGACAAAGTAGTTGTTCTGTGTCAAAGAGTAGAACTGCTCAAAATTCACATAGGTGTTCTTTTAGGAGCTTTAATTAGTTTATAGGAGCTCTGGTAGCATAGTGGCTAAGCACTTGCCTGCTAACCAGACAGCTGGCGGTTCAAACCCACCAGCCACTCCTCGGGAGGAAGGTTGGGCAATCCTACTTCCGTAGTGATACTGCCTCGGAAACCCAAGGAGGGGTTGCTATGAGTTGGGGCCAACTCGACGGCACATAACAACAACAACAACAACAATTAGTTTATATCAGTGCTTTCATTAGTAGTCGTTAAATATTGATTTGCTATTTCACTTGGTTATAGTTTTTTGGAAAAAAAATATTTTTGACATGGAGTTTTAAAGTTCTTCAGCTTATATTCATGTTTTTAAAACAAGTTTTAGGAGAGCCGAGACACTGTCCCTTGGTCTTATTTTATATTGTTGCTAATTTGCCTTCTTTGAGACATGACATATACATAAGAGCCCTTTATAAGACTTCTTATCAATTTCTTTTTGAGCTTGCTAAGTACTGTGACAACTTATTAAAGAAATCAGCAAAAGGGATGACTGAGAATGAAGTAGAAGACAAACTCACAAGCTTCATTACCGTTTTCAAATATATTGATGATAAGGATGTTTTTCAAAAGGTAAGCTAACAGCAGAAAAATTTTAATTGTATTTTACTCAGCTTTGATTTATTTTGGAACTTTAAATCATCACAAAGGGAGTAATTTTTTTTTTTTCAATATAGTTCTATGCAAGAATGCTGGCCAAACGTTTAATTCATGGGTTATCTATGTCTATGGATTCCGAAGAAGCCATGATCAATAAACTAAAGGTAATGTAAGCCTTTGATCCACTAATATCCCTCAGAAATTATTCCACTGGTACACAAAGACATTAGTTGTAACATTTGGGCAGCCTCTTTTCCAGTACCATTTGTTGAAGAGAATTTCTTTCCCCATTTAATAGACTTCCTACCTTTGTCAAAGATCAACTTTCCATAGATGGATGGATTTACTTCTTGGTTCCCAGTTCTGTTACATTGTTCTGTGTGTCTCTTGTACCAGTAGCAGGCTGTTTTTGACTACCTTGGCTGTGTAGTAGCTTCTGAGATTGGGAGTGTGAGGCCTCCCACCTTCTTCTTCTTTTTTTCGCTTTACTCATCGAGACCTCTTTTCTTTCCATATAAAGTTGGTGATTAGTTTCTATCTCCTTAGTGAATGTTGTTGGAATTTAAATTGAGATTACATTATATTTGTAGATCGCTTTGGGTAGTGTTGTTATTTTTGTAAAGTTAAGTCTTCTCCTCTGTGAATATGGTATGTTTTTCCATTTGTGCTGGTCTCTCTTGGTTTCTTGTAGCAGTGTTTTGTACTTTTTGTTGTATAAGTCTTTTACTTCCCTGGTTAGATTTATTCTTGAGTATTTTATCTTTTTGAGGGGTATTATGCTACTATTGGTTTCCTGATTTCCTTTTCAGAATTCTGCTAGTGTTGGGGAATCCAACTGGTTTTTGTATATTGATTTTGTACTGCTATTTAGCTGAAATCTTCTATTAGTTCCAGTTGTTGCCTTGTGGAGTCTGGGATTTTCTGTGTCTGATCATGTTCTCTGTGAATTAAGATAGTTCTACTTCTTCCTTCTACCAATTTGTATGTCCTTTATCACCCTTTCCTCCTTATTGCTCTAACTAGTACTTCTAGTACAACATTGAATACGAGTGGAGGTTAAGGCCATCCTTGTCTTATTCTTAATGTTATATGCTTTTAGTCTATCTCCATTGACAGTATTGTTGGCTGTTGGTTTAGTAGGTATATTCTTAGTTATGTTGAAGAATTTCCCTTTCTATTCCTATCTTGCTGAGAATTTTTATCAAGACTTTATCAAATGCTTTTTCTGCATTAATTCAGATGATCACGCAAGTCTTGTCCTTTGTGGTGGGTTATGTTGGTTGATTTTCTAGTGTTGAACCATCCTTGCATATCTGGTATGCAGCCAGCTTGATTGTGATGTATTATTTTGTTGATATGTTCTTGAGTTCTGTTGGCTAGGAGTTTATTGAGAATTTTTTCATCTATATTCATGAGGAATATTTGTAATTTTCTTTTTTTAGTGGTGTGTTTGCCTGGCTTTGGTATCACGATTATCCTGGTTTCATAGACTGAAATAGGGAGTATTTCTTCCTTTCCTGTATTCTGAAGTAGTTTGAGTAGATTTGATGTCTACTCACCTATGAATGTTTGGTAGAATTCTTCAGTGAAGCCATATGAGCAGAGCTTTTTTTGTGGTTTTTGTGAGTTTTTTTTTTTTAATTACTACTTCATTTTCTTCTTTCCAATATTCTACCTCAGTTTGTAGAATTTCTAGTAATTTTAATTTGTAAGGTTTGTTACAATTTCTCACAATATTGAGTTATAGTCCTCTTTATCTCATTTGGCTCTGTTGTAAGTTACCCATCTTGGTTTTTATTTTGGTTATTTGTAGCTTCTCATTACTTTCCTTTGTCAATTTGGCCAGTGGTTTGTCAGTTTTATTGATCCTCTCAAAGAACTAACTTCTAGTCTTGTTTATATTTTATATTGTTTTTCTTTTTTATTTATTTATGGCCTAATCTTTATTATTTCATTTCTTCTGGTTACTGTAGGTTTCTTTTGCTGCTCTTTTTGTTCAAGTTGTAGGGTTTAAGTTATTGATTTTGGCTCTTCCTTTTTAATGTGTACATTTACTGCAATAAATTCCTGAGCACTGTTTTTGCTGTGTCCCAAAGGTTTTTGGTATGTTACATTTTTATTCTCATTTCATTTTGGGAATTGTTTAATTTCTCAATTCTTCAGTCCTTTTTAAGCAAACTGTTACTCACTTTCCATGTATTTGACATTTTTCCCCCTTTTTTCTTCATATTGTTAATTTCTAGCCTTGTAGCATTGTGATCAGTAAAGATGGTTTGTATTATTTTGATGTTTTTGAGTTTATTGAGGCTTGCTTTGTAGGCTAAAATATGGTCTGTTCTGGAGAATGTTCCATGTGCATTGGAGAAGGATGTGTACTGGGTTGCTATTTGGTGGAGTGTTCTATATGTGTCTATGAGGTCAAATTTGTTGAGTTTTACAATTGTAGATTATTTATAGTAATGAAATAATTCATCAACAAGGGGCTAGTTAAATGTATAATGATATATTCATACAGTAGGATATGCAAATACTATGTTAAAAGGGCAGAAATATATCTATATAGTAATGCAGAAAAAAGCATAAGATAATCATCACTAATGTCACAAAAGACTTGTACCACATATATGGATATACCTAAAATATTCCTTCAATTAGCGTGTTTTTGAAGTGCAGTTGGGTATCAGTTCATTTTTATATCATTTTAGCTTATACACAGATAAGAAAACTAGTAATTGATTTATATTTATCCAAAGTTACTCAGTAGTGAAACATTTCCCTATAGACATTGCATATAATGTTGTGTACTCCTTAAACATACCAAATATTTACTTATTTTTTAATTTTAAAAAATAATATTCAGATTTTTGACCTTGTGATGACAGTTTGAAATAATTTAAATGAAATAGACTTCTTCATACAGAGTAGACAGTATTACAAAGATTCTTAACTACTTTCCTTTTTTTAATTGACTACTGGTTTGACTATTCTTAGTAGTTTTTCATGTGTATTGGATACTAAATATTAATACATATAATGGAGCATATTGCAGTATTGAAATAAAATACATGGATTTATAGAAAAGCTTTTGTTTTAAAGGGCTATTTATTGTATCTTAATTAGGATTTTTCATTTACTTACATAATCTGCCTTTAAAAAGAAAGGAACTTGTTTTGAGTGGCTGCTTGGGTTATGGTTAATATAAACCTTAGGTGTAGATGCTCAGCAAGGGCATTTGATTAGTGCAGTAGTAAGCAGTTCTCCTTAATCTTATTAATTTTTTCTTTTTAATCATATTTCTTTCAAAAAACCAAACAAACAACACTTTGTCTCCCATCCCCCACCTCCCCTTTTGTTTTCTTGAAAACAGCAAGCCTGTGGTTATGAGTTTACCAGCAAGCTGCATCGGATGTATACAGATATGAGTGTCAGTGCTGATCTCAACAATAAGTTCAACAATTTTATAAAAAACCAAGACACAGTCATAGATTTGGGAATTAGTTTTCAAATATATGTTCTACAGGTATGAATATGTGTTTTATTATGGGCTTATACTAATCATTGCAAATGCTCTGATAAAAAGGATTAATGAATAGATGCCTGATTAGATTTTTTTTCCAGTCAGTTGATTGTGTCTTCCAAAGTTATATTTGGAATCAAGTGTTCCATAATATTAGTGCTGTGGGTTTTATCAAAATTTTGAGGGAGGAAAAAGATATTTCAGTTTTCATATCATTTTTAAAAATACTTACTTTCAAGTGACATGATACTGATCTTTTTACCTTTTCTCTGTTTAGGCTGGTGCATGGCCTCTTACTCAGGCTCCTTCATCTACATTTGCAATTCCTCAGGAATTGGAAAAAAGTGTACAGATGGTAAGTTTGTAGAAATGTATTGAAAGACTTAAGGAGTTTTAATAATTGTTTTCTGTATCTCTGTAAAATTTTAAGGTCTCATAGGATATGAAAATTATGAGTTTCCCTAGCTACATAGTCTGAAGGCAGCCTTTCATAAAACTGTCCTCATTTCAAACACAAGTTGGAGGGTCCCCAGGGCTACCCTCACTTCTGTCTAACTGGCTACTAATTCAAGACTTTCATGACCACTTTCAGGTTCAGTAATTAACTAGAATGACTCACAGAACTCAGGAAAACACTGTGTTAAGATTACAATTTTATTGTATCAAAAAGATACAAATCAGAACCACTAAAGAAACACACTGGCCATAGTCTGGGGATGTTGCAAATAGAAAGCTACCATTGCCCTTAGACAAACTCACAAATAAGACCAGGAGCTGACTGTGAAATAGACCATCAATTGTTCATAGGCAATTTTAAGTTGAAGCTGAAGAAAATTAAAACAAGTCCACTAGAGTCCAGATATGACCTTGATTATAATCCCACCTGAATTTAGAGATCATCTGAAAAATAGATTTGATGCATTGAATACCAATGACCAAAATCCAGACAAGTTGTGGGATAACATCATAAATGAAGCAAGCAAATGGTCATTTAAAAAGGCAGGAGAGGAAGAAATGACCAAAATGGATAACAGAAGAGACTCTGAAACTTGTTCTTGAACAGAAGGTACCTAAAGTAAATGGAAGCAAAGACAGGGTAGAAGAGCTGAATAGAAGATTTCAAAGAGCAGCTGGAAAAGACACAGGCAGTTATTATAATGAAATGTGCAAGGACCTGGAGTTAAAAAACCAAACCAGAAGTACACATCCTGCATTTCTCAAGGTGAAAGAATTGAAGAAAAAACTCAAGCCTTGAGTTGCAATATTGAACGATCTAAGATGGAAGGAGTATACAGAGTCACTGTACCAAAAAGAATTGGTCTGTGTTCATCTATTTCAGGAGGTGGCATATAATCAAGAACTAGTAGTATTGAAAGAAGTCCAAGCTGAAAGAGCAAGTCTCTAGGAATTGATGTAATACCATTTCAATGTTTCAGCAAATGGATGATACACTGAAGGCACTTACTTGTCTATGCCAAGTAATTTGGAAGACAGCTACCAGGCCAACTGACTGGAAGAGATCCATATTTGTACCCATTCCAAGGAAATTTGTACACATTCCAATGGAATGTGGAAATTATTGAACAGTATTATTAATAGCACATGCAAATAAAATTTTGCTGAAGATGATTCAAAGACAATTATGGCAGTATATTGACAGGGAACTTGGAGAAATACAAACTGGGTTCAGAAGAGGACGTGGAATCATGGATTGTTGTTGTTGTTAAGTGCCGTCGAGTCGTTTCCGACTCATAGCAACCCCATGCACAGCAGAAGGAAACACTGCCCAATCCCGCGCCAGCCCCACAATCCCTGCTATACTTGAGCCCATCATCGCAGCCACCGTATCAGTCCATGTAAAGTACCTAGCCAAACCAAACCTGTGATCAAGTGGAATTCAACCCATAGTGACCCTATAGAATAGAGTAGAACTGCCCTATAGGGTTTACAAGGATGTAAAATCTTTATAGAAGCAGACTGCCATATCTTTCTCCTGCAGAGAGGCTGGTGGGTTCCAACTATCAACTCTTTGGTTAGCAGCTAAATGCCTTAAACACTGTAGCACCAGAGCTCCTGGTATATAGAAAGTCCTTAATAAATGTTAGCTGATAATAGAAATAATAAAAGGTACAATGGTGGTAGTACCGAAAAACCAAACCAAACTCATTGCTGTTGGGTGGTTTCCAACTCATAGTGACCCCTCCTTGGGTTTCCAAGGTGATATCTCTACAGAAGTAGATAGCCCAGTCTTCCTTTTGGGGAGTGGCTAGTGGGTTTGAACCACCAGCGTTCTGGTTAGCAGTCAAATACCTTAGGTACTATGCCACCCGAGCTCCATAATGGTGGTAGTAGTAGTGGTAATAGTAAATTAGAGTATAATTAGAGTAGATTTCAGGGTACTAGGCATACCCTCCAGCCATTCCTCAGAAGGAAGACTGGGGAATCTACTTCCGTAGAGATACTGCCTCAGAATCCCAAGAAGGGGTCGCTGTGAGTGGAAATTGACTCAGTGGCAGTGGGTTTGGTTTTTGGTTTGAGGCATAAGGTAGACTCAGAATAGACAAATCAGAATAGGACTTTTTGCATCCTCTTTGAAAAAGGATCGACTCACACACCATCTTACAAACTTCATGAAGAAGAGCATTCACCAAGCATCCATTTGGATGTATCCATAGACTATTAGGGGTTTTGAATAAAAGATAGAAGGGAGCCAGAGACCTGAGACAGTAAAGCATTTTAATGTATTTGTGGCCAAGAAATAGATATAAAATAGACACCTCTCAGCAATCTTAAAACTTTTTCTTCTTAAGCCTCCTTTTTCAGTCGTAATTAAAGGAGAGAGTAAGGGCCCACAGAAATAAAGTTTCCTTCTAACTTTATGTCCTTTCCTTTCTTGAAGTAATTATTTTCCAGTAACTATTTTTAACCCCATAAACTTTATTTATAAATGTATGGCCTGTCAAGTTTCAGTTTGCTCATTTATAAAAATGAGGATCAGATTTGTTTCTAAGTATAAAATTCTTTGAGTCAAAGAAAATTTTTCTCTTCATTTGGATTTTTCCTAATTACCAGCAGAGGAAGTTTGTCCTTATACTCCCCCCCCCCCCCCCCCCCAGTAAATCCAAGTTCATTTACCAAAGAATGAAAATCCACTTGGATATGTAATAGTGTACGTTTCTCACATGTAAATTAATTCATCTCGATTTAGTAACAGTTCACATTTTTGTACATTTTAATCTTCAGCTAGCTATCAAAGATTACTTCTACTTTACACATAAGCATCTCAATAGTATGGAAATAAAGCTGTATT